ATCCTCATTGATATGTCAGAGCCACTGCGCAAAGTTTGTCTTCTGCATCACTGTCGACAGCAACCGAACAAAACTGCGAAATAGTCTGAACAACCTGCGACCAAAGTGTTGGAAGCACGTGCCCGTGTTCACCATGGTGCCGGAATCCGCATGATAGACTGTAGCCGCCGGGAAGGATGCAGAGACGAACTCAGCTTCCACTGCATGGATCTCATCCTCAGCGCAATGTCAGAGCCACTGCGCAAAGTTCGGAGTTCTGCATCATCGTTCCAAGCCCTGTCGCAGCAACGGGCTGCAAGTGCGACGGGCTTGGTGTTTCTCTGCAGACGCAGAGTGCAAACATGCTTTCCGTGCTTCACGCGCACACACATGCACAAGCTCAGCTGACACGATTCTTCGAAGACTTCGTCATGACAGCGGTATCGGAGCCACTGCGCAAATCACAATTACGTATGCATCAGTGCTAGGTGGCGCGTCGACATGCCACACACAGCCTTGGTGATACCCCAGCACAAGCCCGAATCAACCTGACGCTTTTCTTCTCAGGTGTCTGGTGTACGAAACCGAAACGCCAAAAAAGTGCAACAGTTTCAAGGAAAAGGTTGCAGAAAGCACTGCAAGGTTTGCAAAACAGCTTCTCTGGCGGAATCTCTGCACGTCGCAAGCTGAAGGCGGAAGCTTCACTGTACCGGGGCTGGGGCGTGCCAACAGTGCCCCCAGGGCGCAAACCTTGCAGGAAGCAGGCACACCTTTGCATCGAGAGCAGATGACCAAGACCAGGTGCAGTGCCTTGCTCCAGGTACTGCGAGAAGTGGGGTGCCTTGTTTGTGCCGAGCCAGAGCGAATTTACCCTCTGCATTTGAGATTACCAATGCCTACACTCGCAAAGACATGAGCCCAAGGCCTTGTCAGGAAGGAGGTCGCGCAGTTTCTCCGATGTGGTGCGAAGCTGGCCCTGCAGAGACACAACTCTACGGTAGAAGTCGGTTCACACACTGGCACTGGATTCAGCCGCTTGGCGCACGGACCGCAGGATTTGCAGCGACAGCACATTCGCGAACCGGCCCAGCCATGCGCACCAGGCATTTGTGCACTGGGGAGGCGGGTGCGCACACTGATGCGAAGGACTCACAGACCGGACCAACCCGACCTTAAAATGCCCCAAACCCTAAAACCCTGGAGCCCTAAAGCCCCAAACCCTAAACCCGTCAAGACTAGGCTCTGCAATGCCCCTAAACCCTGGAGCTTATACCTGAATTTATTAACTCCTAAAACCTCAACCCTATAAGAGCCGAAACCGTAAGACCCCAAAAAGCCGTAGAACCCAAAACACTCGGCTCTCCCAAACAAAATCCTCAACCGTGCTCACGCCCTAAACCCGAAATCTGCAACCCTCAAACCCAAAAGTCGAGTGCCCCTCCACCCCAAAACTCTGTCGGGCACCCCAAACCCTAAACCGTACAAACTTGAACACCGAGCTCTCCTTGCCTGACGATACCCAAAGTATAAACAGCAAAAATCTTTGCTCAAACTCAATGCCTGGCCTTCAAAATGGTCTTTGTCACATACCCTCGATGGAAACATCTTCTAGAAAAGACAAACACACATTGTGGAGGTGTTTGCTTAAGCAGCTTGAAAGTTTTGACACTCCGCCATCACCGAAATAAGCTAAAACTAAGACAAGTCTAAAGACTGCTTGCAAAATGTCAACCGAATTAGCTCCGTCAAAACATGAAACTTCGCAAACATGAGAGTATCTATCTTTTTCACGAAGGTGCCAAAATATCGAGAAGGAATATCAATTCCCATTCTTGGGTCGGCCGGGTGCGTGAATCGCTTGTGCTCGCATCGCACATTCTCGAATCGCGGGTGCTTGAATCGCAGCGATCAAGTCGGTGCCAGTGTTCGAACCGCTCCTGTACGATTGAAGATTCCGATGGCGGCTGCAACTCCCACGATGAGTGTCCAGGACCAGAATGTCTCCGTGATGTTTCCACAGTCATGATCACGACTCATGCTTCAGCATGCCACTCCAGCTTGCAGACTCTTATGGATTCGTCAACAAAGCCACGACGTGTGCCTCCAACTGCTTGTACTGCGATTGGACCAGCCGCAGCCGCAGAACCTGCGGGCTATGTGACACATCGCGGGAACCACGACTCAGAAGCACGAAGTGGTTCGGCGACCCTGTAACCATCAGCCAACCGAAACAGGCCTAAGACAACTCGCGACCAAGTAGGAGTACCAAGCATTAGAGGAGCCACCACTGGAATAAAAAACTTCAACAGTCAATCGGGTTGTTCACACGTCCTGCATGAAGACTGTTCCATCGCCATAAGGACGGAGTCCGATGCAACAAAAACCTTTGACACTTAGCCAGCAGCTGCCGCTTAGAGTGAAGGGACGAGTCTCCAAAGATCACGTGCTATAACTCTGCCTGACTCTGCCTTACAGGCCCTGACCCCAAAGCGGCCTCGGAGGCAATCTCCTGGATCTGCTGGCTCTGAGCTGCATCACTGGCAGGATGCGACAGTCTCACCGGTCCCGCACTAATTACTTCTTCCGGCTTAAAGGGATCTTGCCGAAGTAGCCACGTGCTGTTCTGGATCACAGAGTCTTGCTCCACACAGAACAGGCCGAAGAGCAACGAATGAAGACATGCCAATGCTGCCACATCAAGCCCTCAGACCCTCCCAGAACCATGGCCTTTCAGTCGTTGCTACAGCGACCCGGGCAGGTGCCTGGCTTTTAATCTGGGTGCATTTGGCAGTTCAGCCCAATCAACCAGATGGAAACAGTAAAGTTTAGCAGGCTTCCAAAGTCTGTGCGGAAACGGCTATAATGACGGATAACCGTACAAACTCAGAGATAGAGACAGCTGGTCGCATCCAGACTCTTGACTGGGCTTAATCCTCATGCTTCGCAGCGAAAGGCCTGCAGCGACATGCCAGCTGATCAGGCCTTGACTTGACTTCCGGAAGAGGCGAGAGTGCATGTCACGATGACACGAAAACGATTCTGGTAAGTAATTACAGCTGCAAAAGGCGAGACGAAAGGCGAGGCGCCCAGGAGCAATTCCAATGCGCTCGTGACACCCCCTTCCAGTGGGGTTGCTCCGTGGTTCTTTGTCTCGTTGCTGGTTGACTCTCTTGACTGCTTGCTTCGCGCCTGTAGTTTCTGCTTGCTGTATCACTTAGTCAGCTACAACGGCCGACAGCATGTCTGGCTTCCTGCCGATGCATCATCTCTCGTGGGAAGGCTACAAATCACATCGCTACGAGCTGTCCCTGTTCACAGACGGGTCGGAACAGACAGACTAAGCAGTCGAAGCAAAGAGCAACCCACTTTGGGTTCAATTTCAGGGACTGTGGATAGGCTGATTTCGCGGCTAATGGCGGTGTCCCGATCCTGGTCGAGCATCTTTCCTACTGGCTCCGCTTAGGGCCAGGTCAAGGCTTGGCTGTAAGGGCACGAGACCTAGACTGAGGATGTTCAGATGTTAAGAAGCTCAGGCTTCAGGCTTGGCTTTTGCTCCCCATGTCGAACTGATTGGGGAACCTGCCCTGGATCCTACGAGGAGCGGCGTGGCACTGAGAAAGACTTTAAGGAGATGCTCCCGGCCCAGTCCTCTGAGGTGGCGGCCGCTTTCAGCGGCTCACGAGGATATCTCGCCATCACGCACAGAAGAGCTCCGTGGGTTCCATGGTGCCGCCGCGGTCGAGCATACAATCATGTTCACCTGCAGACGATACCCTTCGTAGCAGGCTTGGACACTTTGCAGGATTTTCTGGGTAAGCTCCAGCTCGCTTATTGAATGGACTGCATGGGCAACTCTTCGTTTGAGCCAACACTTCGTTTGAGCTGCCAAGCTAGCAAAGCTTCCGTCGGGATGCAGCAGAGACCTGAACTTGAATGCAGCATTGTGGGCATGTGGCTGCATTTCGCATCTGTGCCTTGGCACCAAGCTCTTCTGCTTGGAAACTGTCAAGCTGCACGGTTCATTCGCGTGAAAGCGAGGAATGCTGCCATTGCTCTTACTCTGCTTCTGGGTACTGTGCTATGGACTCAGCCTGTCCTGTCATTCATGGCTGACGAGACGAAATCCAATAGATCTTGAAGACCTGTCATTCGCTGCCCTGGCCCCTGGCAGCATTCCTGTGATCGCCACTAAGATGGCAATCCTACGGGCTATAAATGCAGCCTGAAGATGCAACTATTGTGGAGTCCTGGTGGAGGGAGAGATGGCTGACTACGAGCGATTCCCAGTATCGTGGAGCTATCGTGCGCGGACTGGTCTTGAAAACAGTGCAGCACGAATTGGAAGAAGACAAGCCAGCAAAAGCACACAAAGCTCGAAAAACTGTACGACGGTTGCCCAGCCGTTTTGTGTGGTCATGGGGAGCCACTTTCAAGCCAGACCTGAAATGGCTCTGTCTTGATGTTCCAAGACCGACTTTGGAGCATTCCCGCTTGCTCTGTGCTTGCCAGGGACGTCAAGTCCCCTTAATTCTGAAACAGACACACCATTTGCCCCAGCTAAACGCTGTAGAGTTGTTGCACCCGTTCCTAACAGGCGAACAGGTGGGTCGGGAGTCGCCCGAGGAAGGGCCCTGGCCCGTGGCCCCCGAGGTTTTCGGCTGCTCTGCCGTTAGTCCCAGTTTTGACGCTGGCTCTCACGTTACCTCCCTCCTGACAGGTCGCCTCCAAAAAATCAGGTTCTCCAAAAAATCAGGTTTGTTCGAATCTTTGTCGATGTAAACGTCGAGATTCTAGATGAAAAACGTCTCTTCCTCCATGCATGGTGACACGGACGTTCTGCGACTAATTGGACAAATCGCTGAAAGGCCAGAGCTGCATTGCCACGAGGAAACTCAAACAGTACAGCGACGGTTTGCCCAACCCAACGCTTCAGTTAGGGCGAGATGTAGCCAACTCGTCGAACACGAATCTGAAGCATCAGGACAGCGGCTTTCCGTCGCAGTGCTGTGGGCCCTGGCGCGTCATTCGGACCGCTCGTTGGCAGCCATGGCGACCCGTGGCCTGACTCTTCAAAAGCTGCACTTTGAGACTTTCTTCTGTCTCGGAGGTTTAGAGCACATGTGCTTCGGCTAAGAACTACTAGACTGATGCCAAGAATGGTCAAGCAGTTCCCACTCCAGTAGAGAAGCAGACTCTCGGCCGAGTAATAGCTGAGCCCGAGATCCCCACACCCACGGCCGGCGGCAGGCGGAAGATCCAGCAGCATCACCAGGTGCACCTGCACGACAACAGGGACTTGTCGGCTTTTGGGAAACTAAGCTAAAGATTCTAGAACTAAAGCCACTGAGCAAACGTCTCGCCCAGAATCCTCACGGCACCACGAGTGAACACCGACTTCGCCCGACCAGCATAGTTCCCCCCCTGTACTGCCGGGATTAAGCTTGGACTCATCAGCACGGCCAAAACCTCTCCCCCATGTACTGTTGGGATTCAGACACATGACATCACATCGTACTGGCCGGGATTCAAAACTTTCGAGGCCAAAATCGAGCAGCACCACATGCGCAGTGCCCGGACACCGGTTACACTGAGAGGGTAGTGATTTCGAGGCCCCTGTGTTGAAATTTACGATGGGTCGCCAGGAGCGGGGTTGCCAAATCCAAGGACGAATCGTCACGGCACCATGCGCACAGCGCCATTTCAGGATATGCAGCGACTCCCGCTAGCCCTGCCCTGAGCGTCAAACGGATCGAGATAAGAACGTAAACATCGAAGACCTCACATCATGCCATGCAACCTGACGACAAGCTAAGAGACGACCTGACATCAACATCATCACATCCTGCCATCCAAACATCTAAACCTCCTCCGCCACACGAAGCTCGCGGGAAATAGTAGAATTACAAACACTTGTAAATGGAAATCCTGAGACTGACCTCTCCCACATTTTCGCACCCACCAAGTTCGAGGCTGCCCCGCTGAAGAAACACAGGGATGTGCGGTTAGGCAGGGAAAACGCAGGACTCGATGACCACATCAGGTCATTAGGCATATCTTCGACGGCGCAAAGCACCAGACGAGTAGAAATGCTGCTGCAAAAGAGCACAATGTGTACAAAGCACAAAAGATCCAAAAAGCAATACAGTTTCCTGGTCTCCGTTCAGCCGTCTGGCCAAGCAACCCGTTGGGCACGACACGAACATGCCAGCCTGAATAGCCACTGTGTCCACTTTGTGCATTCAGCAGGAATGCACGACCTTGCCGGCAACAGGACCGCGCTTGGACTGCTGCTTGATCTTTACACTCTGCCGTTCCCACCCAGCCCCCAGTCTCAGGCATCAAGCCTAAGCACTCCTGCTCCAGCGAGCCGCGGATGCAAACAAAGCCATCCGGGCCTCAGCGGTCAAACTGATCAACCTCTGTTTGGCCGAAAGCTGCGGCCTGTTCGGAGCCATGTACCATGCAAGCCGACCTGGCAACACCTGATGTCACGACAGACAAAAGCATACAGACGATCATGCACCACCACATCGCATTGTGCAATGCCCAGCTCAGCTTGCACTGGAAAGCATTTCGATCGTGAACCGCGGCGAATCGCGATAACAGGATCTTTGCAAATCGTGGCACACAGCTTCGTAGTTCAACCGAATGAGAACACTGCAAGCCGACATCGAGTGAGAGTTGCTGTCCTAGCATGGCAGTACTTAGATCGTACCAGACCACTCAGAACACCATGAGCTCAGTCCAGTACCCAGGAACCGATGAATCTCTCCAGGTGCTAGGAAATCGTGCCAGCCGCGATCAAGTCGGTTGGCCTGAAAAGTGCAAACTTGGGAGCTGCTGAGGACACGGAAAAGGCCGAGAGAAAATGTCGACAGCTTACGAATTTTTGATGTAAACGTCCAACGATTTCAAGGCCACGGAATGAACTGACTGAACCATGCTAAGTCTCGGCTGGACGGCAGGATCGGTAAGCCTACACGACGATGAAAATAGCTAACCGACCAAGACGGCACCTGCCGAGACAACCGCAAAGATGCACGATGGCCCAGCCGGCCACGAGAAGCTTCGAGCAGACATCAAGTCCACAGGGAGACGAGCTGTAAGCTGCGAGTCGATACGGCCAGCTGATGCCTTTTGCGCCGTGATACACTGCAGGGACTGTGCCGGACAATGGCTGCAGCTTGCCAGTGGACCGAAGTTTGTACAGGAGGAGGCAAGGCTGGCAAGTCGCATGCAGGAAGGAAGCCATGCGATTCGGCCACCGGTCTGCAAGCACCGAACAATCCGAACAAGAGCAAGCTTCGTGCTTATCGTCATGTGCCCAGCAGGGCGATCTCCACCCAAGCAACCAAAGAATCGGATGAGGATAATCCCAGCATCACCACAAGCAGAATTCAGATGACGGACTTGCTAGCTTCGTTACGTCCATGTTCTATGCTTGAGTTGGTGGTGATGTGTGCTGCTAGACGGTGAACATCTCGGAGAAACCTCTTGCCATCCGTAAAGAGCCGGAGAAAAACATGCGAGCCACAGCCACGCCTTGAAGGTCCAAAGGTCGCTCTTCTTCTTTGGAGCGGGGCAGGTCTCGCCACTGCCTCGCCGAAGATGCTGCTGACCGGGCGAGGTTGAAAAACCCGAAGTTTCGAGTGCCCGAGCTAACTAATGCGGATATTCTCCAAGCAAAACGAGTTTGTTCGTCCAAATTTCGACCAGCCTGACGGCCACTTCATGCAAGCAATGCCATACCTGCCGGCAAGAAACTTCGAGCATAATCCCTGCGCAGGAGTCTCGCACGACCCAGACCTTATGTTGGCAAACTCCCAATCGCGAGGCCAATGTGGTTGAGGCACGGCCTCACACATCGAGAAATCGCAGTGGAACAGGCCGGCCACATTAGCGCGGCGCTGGACAACTTGTGAGTAGCTCGACGATGCCAGGCATGTGCTGGAAATATGGCATATCAGCCAATCAAAGCCAGTGCAGTAGGCTAATGTTCGACCAGACTGGCAAGCGGAAGAACATAGATGCAAAAGAGTTCTCAGAGAATACGTTTAGGTTGACTGTTCATCGCAGCTAGTCAACTTCCCAAACCTCCCGCTCAGGGCTGCTTGGCTGCACATGCAACTCACAATGCTCCAATTCGAAGGGAGGGCCTCAAGGAAGACCGAGAGGGACCCCCTGACAAGTGGCTGGTCATGTAAATAAAGAGCAAAAATCACGGAAGTACTTGCACGGTCTTCTTTCTTGGTGCACAGATGCACCAGTCACTCGTCATTCGGGCCTAGCGACACCGGTATCAGTGCCGGCCGGGAAGACAAGAACCTGCAGGCAAGCAGAAAAAGATTTACCCGACAAGACATGAAAAAGCTATGGGCAAACAATGCTCAACCCAAAATAAGAGGAAACATCAGGCCATGATGAGGCCGCTGTGGAGACACACTTCAGCTCCCTGTATGAAGCTTCAACCAATCTTGAAGTTTGTGGTTAAACGAAAGACCGAGAGGCCCTGACACATAAGCTGGTGGTAGGACCCAGAGCACCCCTGTACTCTCTGCATATGCAGACTAAAGAAGTATACGCTGCATGACAGATGCCACGGGCAACTAACAGATGTGGTGTTTGGTGGGAAGCTGAAGCCACTCAGTTGGAATGTCTCCCGTTTCTGCAGCTCCCCCGCGACCCGCAGGACCACGTCGCCAATACGCTTTGGCTGCGAACGAAGCGCCTGCCGGGAAAAATGCCGGATGGCACCAAGTTTGGTCTCCGCATGTTCAGCTTGCACAGCGTCACACAAGTGTGGCGAGTGCCTGCCCGCACGCGTACTGCTCCTTGGCCCAGATCGAAAGTTGTGGCAGGTCTGAGACCCACTTATGATCAAATCGGGGTTCGGGGTTCTGGCAGACGTTGAAAGCAGAAATGGCAACAGAGCCCCTGCCTTGCCCAATGCATGCCTGCTGTGCTGTCTTCACGGTTAACGCCGAAGTGGCCTAGTTCTGGGGAGTCGAGGAGACAATTTTCAGCTAACCTTCGCATCGACAGTGCGTCTTCAGCTGCTCGGCAGCCCCGCCACCACCAACTATCATACACCGACACATATCCCGCAAAAGGGAATTGGCACACTGGTGGCATACTCTTGCTCGCCAAGTTGCAGAGTGCGCGTAGTGAAAACAGAAATCGATTTCTGTTGAGCTTGGTGGTGGCCTCTGGCTGCTGCAAAGAGCTGCATTCAAAAGGGCATTTCTACCAAACTGTGTGCTGATTTGTTAGACTGAGACTGCGGCACCCCAGGAGGCAAGATCGGCTTCCTGGGCACCTGGAACCCACCAGTGCGAGTGCAAGTCAAATAGAAGAAGCAATGCTTTACTCACGAGAACCTATGGAAACTGAGTACCCCACGACAGCATGGTAACCAAGAGTGGCAAATGCCTCTGCACCTGCCGTGTTGCACAATGCTCGAAGCTTCGGCTGCAGGCACTGCAGGCACAAAGCAACTTAATAAATTAGCTCGCTTCCGATGCTCTTCACAAGCGCGCTCTCAATGTCGCCGGACCAAGCGGGGTAGAACGGGACTGGCCAGCCGATGCCTCCGAGATCGAAGCGCGCAGCCCGGGCCTGACAGTCTGATCCATCGTCCCACTGAGAGTGGCTACCGGAGCCGCCATATCCTCTGACCCTTGCTGTGTCTGGCACAACCCGTCACCAAGATTGCGGCAGTCAGCGCACGAAGAGTGACCTCGCGGCACACAAAATGAGAGGCCAAGAGTCTTGCAAAAGAGAAAGAACAAGCCCTGGCCTGAGGTTTCAAAAGGGTCTTGTGCAGCGCCAGGGCCTGGTGAGCTGACACCATGGCAAATCATGAAACACAGGCACCTCGAAACCTCCTTTGCAAGGACGAGAACTGCCAACATTCTTATAAGTGCAAGCGGAAGTATTTCGGCCTGTGCATCGCTGCCGCGCAGTCCCTAAACCCTAAACCCTAAACGAACTAAACCCTAAACCCCAAACCCTAGTTGCCTAAACCCCCGGCCCCCAACCGACCCTAAACCTCAAACCCCAAACACTAAACCCCCAAACCCCTAAACCCTAAACTCTGAACGCTTTGCACTCCACATAATGCTGACCTGGGCGAACTTCCGGGAGCTGAGATAGGCCCACCGCACTTCGTCCCAGAGGGCCTCGGCTGCTTCCATCAGAGCACCCTGCTGTGGGGCGCAGGTCTGGCATTGTATTTCAAAGCTCCTATGCGCTACCATCGTGCCTCTTCATCACTCTCATCCATGTAGTCCAAGCGCGAAGTGCTTGCCTGTGGATGCTATGGCGGGAACTTGCCACAACGCTCCTCCTCCGTGGCCATACACGCGCGCAACTCCCCTCCAGCTCGACACAGACCTACATACTAGATGTTGCTGTTAGCCCTGGCACTGCTTCAGCCTCTTCCAGGCACACGCCACTCTGCATCGGACCCTGCCTTCCCTGTCTCCAGAGGCTCCGAGCGGGACTCAGGACCATGGCCTTAGTTTGTTGCATGCTGCAGCATCTCTTTGAGGGTTCGGGTCTTTCGCTCTGATGCCTACCCCAGGGTGCACGTTTAGCCCCTGTGGTGAACGAATAACCGCTTGTCCTGTCCTGGCTGCAAAACCTGCTTCATTCATTCTGGTGGCAGGAAAGCCCAAAAGACTCGGGGAACTGAAGCAGCCAGTAAGAAGATCCTGAGACCCCTGCTGGAGGATGCTCCCTCCAAGTCCGTGGACTCCCCCAGCTGAAGACGATCCAAGACAAAGTCATAGACCGCATCCTACGCAAGGGCCGCGCGAGGTCAGTCATGGAAACTGCAGCTCGGCAATGGCAAACCAGTCTCCTCGCTCTCCACCAGAAGCTCATCAGCATCCAAGATCTCGGCCAAGACTCGCGCAGGAAGACGCCTGGGCATGAAAAGAAGACACATGGCCTTACGAACTGCTGGCTTCTTTACAGTGCAGGAAGCCTGTGCATGGCAATGTCTCCCCGGGAGCTCCCTCTTCTGTTACCACAGCCATCGAGAGCTTCGTCACAACTTTTAAGGCATCCCGGATATTGCATGATCATGCAGAACCGCCCTGCACTCCAACACAGACTGGGGCGAATGGCAACAAAGCCGTCTTCATGTCGGGGTTGGTCACAAAAGGCTGAAACCTGAACACGGCTCAGATGTGACTCGAACGTAGGACGAGAGCACTGTTGCTCACACGGACAAGCCGAGCGCAGCCACTTTTTGACGATCAGATCGACAGCACCATCACGGATTTGCCGGAGAGCGGCACCTCAGAAAACACACTTCCGACGAGGCTCGGGCTCGACAAAAATGCCTACACAGCCTACACAGACGCTCACGGGCTTGTGATGGTCCTAAGACTGCCTCCAGCTGTCATCTCACACACTGAACTGCACGTAAAACAGCTTAGGCCCTGGGATGCCCTTGGGGTCTCAGGCTCTCGCCATCATCCGTGCCTGGAATGTGAAAGCGGCAGTACTGCTCCAGCAGGAGAGGCGCCGTATCGGCAAAGGCAGCCTGATCCGAGTGCGCACAGATTTGGGATTCGGGGGCTAGGGTGTGTCCTAAATTTTTGAGGTTGCGATGGGCGACCATCTCTCAAACAAAAAATGTCTACACGTTGAAACTCAAGTTGATTGCTGCATTCTCTGTGTTTCTGCCAGGATAACCTATGCCTGCAAAGAGCTGTTACTAGCAAAATCCTGCCTTCCTAAGGCATCTTCGTTCCTAGACATTTGTGTTGCAGGATCTTGTTTCGTGTCAAGTGATTGTGGAACTCTAAAATGCAAGATCCTGTTTTTTGCTAGCAAAAAGCTCGTTGAGGGTATAGGTGATCCTGGTGCAAGCCCGGGTCCTGTAAACAGCTGGAGTTTCAACGCGCAGAAACGTTTCCCAGGTGGAGAGGGTCGCCGATCGCAACCTCGACATCGTACAAAACCTGAAGCTTCAGGACCTAAAACAAATCGTGCTTCCTTTCGTCCTTGTAGTGGTTGCGTTATTTGTTTATTCCTGTCTTGCTTTTGTGTTATTTATGTCGCTATTCATGTAAATCTGGCATTTCTTTCGTTTCTTTTTTCTGTAGCTCTTTATATCTGTACTTCTGTCTTGTATTTATTGATGTGCTTCTTCATTGTGCAACTACTTCTTTCGTGTTTTCGCTAGTTCTTCATCATGCCTTGGCTTTATTGCACTAAATCGTTCCTTCGTTCCTTCTTTATCTAGTTACTTTGTCTTTGTATATTTCTGTAGCTGTTTCGTTCTGTCGTGCATTGCGTTGTGTCTTTCGCTCTTTATCCGTTTACGTCGCCATTTTGTCACTTGCTTTTTATTTCGTTATGGCGGTAGGTCTTTCGTTCTTGAATTAACTAATTCTTGATTTTTGTGTTGAATTATTTATCTCTTCGTTATGTCATCCCTTTTTCGTGATGTTTTTTAGTTATTTCGTTATACACGTCTTTGTTATTTCGCTTGTTGGTTTTCTTTAATGTAGCTATTTCGTTATTTCACTTTCTGTCCCGTTCGTTCTTCCTTCTGCCTCTTTTCTTCTTGCCTTCTCTTCTTCCTTCCTTCTGTCCGTCATCCCAAGCCCCAGCTCCAAAAAAGATTACAAAAAGGAGCCACTCAAAATAGGCCCTCCAAACTTGGGCCTCGAGCACCCTCCGTCATAACATCCGAACAACCAGGCAAGAACCGGTTCACGCGTGGGAAGAAAGCATGGGCACACCGGAAGAAGCATTCGCGCACAATGGATTCGTGCAGCGGGGCCGGGGGGTGCAGTCCGGCTGAATGAGCCGGTCCGGAAGTAGATTGGACTCAAGCCCACGACAACACACAAGCCTATGACCCCTTCAACTGAGCAGAAACATCAGTGTCGGCTTTGTCTCACCCACAAAGCAACTACGACCACCCCCCTCACATGGAGACAGCGCGGTTCCGCCTATTTTGGGGATTGGTGTTCTGAACAAGCCATACCGTCGAAACAACCCTGAAAGCCACAAAGCTTGAGGCTTGAGATCCTAAACCCGAAAACCTTAACAAAAAAACTTGAAACCATAAAGCACTAAACCCTAGACCCTCCAGCCTTCCACAACTGACCCTGCTTGCCTGATACCTCAGGCCCTGAATCCCTGAAACCCTCAACCCGCAATCCCAAGCTCGACACACCCTCGCACGTCGAGTGCGCAGCTGCTTGAATCGTGTGTGCTCACATCGTGTTGATCGAATCGCGTATGTCTGAATCTGAGTTGGTGCTTGGAATCTCCGGTGCTCGAACCAACGGCGTGCTGGAACCGCTGGCACGTGCTCGAATCGCGGGTGCTTGAGTCGCAGTGCTGGAATCGGGATCGGTCCAGCTCATGCGCGCGCGCACGTCTCGTCGGGCAAGACCCGCGCGTTTAAACTCATTGCGCATCATGTGGCTGCCTCGATCCGCCGGCCCATCGCGTCGAAGAGACTGTTGATGCCCAGGATGTCTGCAATTTTGAGAAGCAGCAGCGCCTCAAGCGAGACATGCGAGACTCGCAGAAGTCATCGAAGAAGGCTCTGCCCTCGGTGCCTTTGACGCAGGCGCCTCAAAGGCAGCTTGGTTCTCTGAGTACATGAAATCGAGGGCATCCTCATGAAAGCGGAACCGAGAAACACAAGCCAAGCTGCAAACTCCGCAAGACTGGTTGCACACATGAAGCCGTAGTGTCCTCGAAGGCTGCATGGCACGACTGGGGCAGCACCTGCAACATTAGAGCTGACATACATGATGTATAAAAACTCAGTTGTCCCTAAATCACTAAATCAAAGATCATATCATCAAATCGACCGACCAGTCGACCTGCCGAAACAGCCCACCGACTCAACTATCAACCATCATCACGCTAGCTGCTAGCTGCATAGCAAGCTACTTAATTGGGTGCCAACAGCAATGCTGGCTGGTGACCACTCCAGATCCACTGACACAGCGACAAAACTGCGAACGGACATGGAGCCAGCACAAAGCGTTCTCTTCAAAGGCCCGGCCCCGGCCTCGCTCAGGTCGCTGCCCTTGGCCTTCTCGGACTCTGCCCGGGACGCCATGCCTCGTTAACGAAAGGAAGCTTAGGCTTAGACTATTCTAAATTGTTCATGACTTCCGACTTCCTTGGGGTGTTGTTTGGCCTGTTCCGCCTGAGGAGACTCGGAAAGCACAGACATAGAGCTTCATAGAGGCTTCATGAAGCCAGCACTGACGGCGGCTCTGTCAAGAGCTCCACTGAGGACCAGGCTCATGTGGCTCTCAAAGAATAACGAGGCACGAGCCTCAGATCGAGTACATGGATCTCCTTACCACCGCCTCGCACTTGCTGGGCACTTCCCTGAGGAACCGCTGAGTGCAAGTGCCAGCAGAAAGGCATGCAAGTGGTAGGTCTTCTCGCCAACCTGTGGCACACTGCTTCCATTTGGTTTGTTGCTGAGTGGCTGCTACATGACTTGCCATGCTGTGTTGCAACTTTCCGGGATGACCGACCTCACAAGCCTATTGAATCCTATTGACAACCTTATTGTCGGGTCTCGGGACCGAAACCGCTTCCTGTGGACAAGGAAAAACTGCGAACCTGCACCGTCCAGTCTGAGAAGCGTCCGTCTCGCCAAGACCTTTAACGCAGGTTCGACGCTAAACTTACAGTGGGTTTGTTTCCGTTCCGTTGAGATCCCACGCCTTTGGAGCTCGAGCGGCTAGTGACAAAATGTCCGAGGTGGCACAGCGAGACAGGCCGCAGTACTACTAGCTCAGCGGAACAACACTTCTCTGTAGCAACATAAATCACTGCACGTCTCTCTGCTGAGCTTCGGGGCAGAGTTGCCATGCCTGCGCCTGCACCACGGCGTGCATTTGGAGAGCTGCGGCGGTGAATGAAAGCCCATTCGTGTTTGCATAAAATTCCGCGACAAGAACTGGCACAACAAGGACACAGCATCATAAAGCACGTGCAACCTCCTAGCTACCGTCACCAAAGCAGAAACTACTGCACTGTCTGCTCCAGCAACAAGCGCACCGAGCTGCGGTTTGCCCTCCGACTCCAGTTCCTGGCCAAAGGAAGGTCAGCCGACGCTGGACACGGCTTGATGCAAAACTTATCACGGCGGCTTCAGCACCTCGAGGCGGCCACACGAATTGTGATGACTCATGACTCCCTCACCCACACTCTGGCCAGTGCGTGCACGTTGAGCAGAGACAAAGCCGTGCCGGGATTGCCACCCCTATTGCGTGGTACACCGCCGGCGGCCTCACCTCAGAGAGCGGAGGTACTGACACGGCAGCCGTGCTCCTGTGGCGACTCAGCGCTTGGTGAAGTGACTCCGCGAACTGTGCACTCCCAGGCGAAGGCTTCCAGGATGAAGGGGCACCCTGCCAAATCCTTGCACCGTGGTTGCGAAGGGCTCACAAGATTCTAAGTCGGTCACCATGTCAAGCAGAGGTGCCTTTGTAAAGAGGTGTGTGCATTCTTGGGCTACCATATCGACTCGGAAACCCTTCTTAGCCAACGAAGTTCTCGACTTGTGAGCTGACTTCCGATCTCGGGGGCGCATCCCCCTCTGTGATGAGCGGCCTCCTCCGACCCTTCCGGTCCGATGGAGATCTTGAGACTGAAGCCTCAGCAACTTGGGCTGCGTCAGCTCGGACAGGATGCATCTTTGGCTCCCTCAAATGCATGTTGGTGTTCTTTGAGGTCGCAGCTCCCAGGCGTCAATGGCAGAAAGGTCACTTTGTACCTGCTTCGATTCTAATCTGCTCCCACTAGCAATTACCAGCATGCTAGCTCAAAAGTTTGCTAAAGATGAGCCAAAATCTGCAAACCTTGCATGTAAGACACGACCAGACCCAGAAGAAAAAGGAAAATATTATTCCATGACTGCTTGAGCCTGCCATCCTGCGTGTCTTCCACAGTAACGTCTTGGAACTCCTGACAGGCTCACGCAAAAACGCGCGTTCGCAAGTATCCAGACTTCAAGCGGGCCTTGGTGCCTGGCTAGGCACAGAAAGAAATCCGAAAACTAGCTTGACTTCAGACAATTTAATGGCGGACAGGGTTCTCGTGTATATTCCATTTCAGGGCAACAGCATGTAGGGGAGAGTTGGTTTGGAGTGAAGCATTCATAGCTGAACTGAACAACACCAAGCACATGGTTCATCGGCCCTGTTGGATAGACCGATAAACCTCGGCTGAGGCTTGAGCACAAGACTGATTGCTAAACATATGCTGCGGGCCTCCTGCCGTGTAGAGCACAAGTCAGAGCAAGGCAAGACCCCAAAAGCCCAAGATCGGCACGTCAACTGACGCGCACTCCTCGGGGTGTGAGAAGTTCGCCACCACCCTGTCGCCTGAAATCTATTGGTAGAAGGATGCAGAAAGTGTGTCCGTGGAAATCTTATGAACCAGGAAATGAACGAAAAATAAAGTGAGCAGCTCGGCAATTTCACCAGAAGGACTGAAAGACTGGTCGAGGCCATTGCAATTTCACTGGTGCGCCTCCTTCGCTTCGACGCGTGCCCTCGCGGTCGCACCTTTGTTTCGACACACAACTCCTGCTTGCAGCTGATTCTGTCGGAACTAACACCGACTAGGAGCCATCTCGCAAGAACTTTTGACCGAGCAGCGCAAACACCCACAAAGAGGATGGCATGTTCACCTTGTCCAGACTTGGGGGGCAGGCAGGTTGGCTAAACGCATCCTTCTACTTGATCCTAGTTCCCGTGCGCACAGGTGCTATGAAGCCACCAGTGAGACAGAATGCCACAGCTGAGGCAGCAAGCTTTGAGAACGCCAAGTCCGGGCCCCTGCAGGACCGTCGCTTCGTGTCGGGCTGCAGGGAGGGTGGAGGTCTTGAAACAACCGCCGCACTACTAGCTCAGACGCCAAAACTGGACGACGCTTCTTTTTCGTCGTGTGGATGGTAGCGCTGCTAGCGCCGTTCGGCGTGCAGGTTCTGATCCAACGGCCGGCGCCGGGTGCGCATATCAGCACCGCCCGGCGCACACAGCCCCACCAAGCGCCGGCTCACCAGACCACTCAGTAGAGCACGCCAGGAGATCAGCCGCCGCACCATCCACCGCGTAGAGCAAGTCGTCGACCGCCTTCGCCAAGATGTGCATGATGGGCGACGCCGGGATGTGGACCCTCGTCCAACCTTCCCGCCGGGCCCTGCCGAAATCGTCCGGGGACACAGCGTCGGCCACATTCGCCTTGGATGGAACCCGTCGAAAGTCAACCATGGTCCCCTGCCGCGCCGCCAAGGCCCAAAAGGCAGCCAGCATACCATTCATCGCCGGGTCCTTTCCATACCCCTTGGACAGCGCTGCCTGGCCCGCCGTGTTGTCGATGAACGCGGTCACGGCGCCCTGCAGGTGTGTGGCAAAGGCCGCCAGCGCCGCCACCTGTGCAAACACCTCGAGCAAAAAGATAAATGCTCGTCGAGATTCGAATTTCCGCAGAAACCAGGGGGGGGACTACGCCGTGGTCGTAGAACACCACCCCGCCGAGGCGTAGCACAAAGCCCCAACCGTTATTGGCCCGGTTGGGTGCAGCCGCCGACGCGGTCGTCGGGACGTGGCCGGCCTTGTGTCGCTGCTCGCCGTCCAGGAAGAAGGCGTCCGCGTACAGCACCGCCGTGTCCATGTCGTCGGGGTTGAACGGGATGAAGCGGGGGCGGATCGTCGGCAGGGGCGTCCCGCCAGTTTGTGCGCCTCGTCGGGCTTCATGGCGTCCTTCTGGAGTGCCTGGGTAATTTGGGCCATGATGCGTCGCACCCTCTCCGGTGTGGGGCTGAGGGTGACCCCCCGCCGCGAGATCTCGAAGAGGACGCCCTGGACGATGTGCTGGGCCGCCGCCGGCTGGGACTTGGAAACCTTGATGCGGAAGCCCAGCGCCGCGAAGAGCTGCTCGAACGCCTCCATCGCCGACTGGCCGAGCTCCTCAAACTCGAGGCCGTTAAAGTCGTCGACGTAGTGGCCCGTCGGCAGGAGCAGCAAGCGACGCAGCAGCTGTTGGAGCGCATCCCCGCCACGATTAAATTCCAAACGGACGCCGTAGCGCCGAAATTCATCGCGAGGTGATACCAAAAGGTCATCCCCGCCGCGGCGGGGAGGAATGTGCCGCAGTGCGCCGGGCAGCGCACAGGCCATTGCCTGTACGCGTTGAGGAGGTCGTGGCCGAAGATCAGGACCACGCCGTCGCCCGCCATGCGCCGGGCCAAATCCACAAAGCTCCCCAGGAAATGGTGTGTGGGGACGTCGTCCGCCGCCACAGTGGAGTTGTGGCCGGAGCGCCGCCAATCCTCGCCCCGTCGAATCTTGATGTTCCCGTGCTCGTCGATCTGGACAATGGCAAAGGACGCCGCCAGGAACACCTCGCCGGGCGGGGGCTCCACCAGATGTGCCACCCTGTCGCGCCACGGCAAGGCCACCGCTCGTGCCTTCAGCCACGCCGGTGCCCTGGTGGGCCCGACCACTCGCCCCAACTTGACCTCGTCGATGAGCTCCTGCAGCAGCGTCTCGGTGCGCTCGCCGACCCTGGCCGTCGCGGTGCGCTGCCTCACATGGTCCGCGTTGACCCGCCGGAGTTCCTCCATGGATGCCGGGTGCTTGTCGCGGTCGTCGGTCCTCTTTTTCCAGCCCGGGCCCGGCTTGAGGCCGCCGACCATGTTAAAGCCCTGGGTGAGGTCGTCGGTGAGGTTCTCGAGGTCGGGGTAGTTGAGGCGCCGCAGGAGTTCCAGCAGGACGGGAATCTGTGTCACCGCCGGCTTGTCCGGCGTTGAGTAGGTGGCCTTGACCGCCGCCGAGCGTTGGGACATCCATTCCGCCGTCTGCTCGGCCACGTCGCCGAGCATATCCTTGACCTCCTGGACCACCTCGCGCCTGATCCTGGCCAGGTCGTGGCGCCACCGCCGTCGGTTTTTCAAGGCCTCCTCCCACGCCGGCTCCAGCCGTGGTTGGGCCTGGAAGGGGTGCGGTATGACCGCCGAGGCTGCCCAGTGAGCTTCCTCGTCGAGGTCCACCAGAGGATCCAGTGTGTCCTCCCCCGGCGCCGGTCCCATGACCGGGCCGCCGAACTGCCACAAAGAGGTGACCCAGGTGATCGTCGATCGGGGTGGTTCGCCCTGTGGTTTGGCGTCGGAGGTCTGGAACGCCGTGGCCACCAGCAGTATCAGTAGGAGGTGCCGCGCCACACCCCAATGCCACCCATTTCCAATGAGCCGGTGGCGGGCGCGGTCGTCGAGCGGTGCGTCGTCTGCCCCCCACGTGTAGTCCGCCGGCATGTGGTGCAGCTGCTCCTTGACCCGTGAGGGCGGGATCTGCAGCTTCGCGTCGGAGCTCACCACCATCGCCTCCTTCACGTAGTGCCAAGGGGCGAACTGGCGTCGATCCGCCGACCACCGCTGCTGTGCGTCGGAAGGGATCTTGCCCCTGCAGCCCTTGGGCGCCGTACGGCCGTTCTCATCGAGCGCCGGGGTGGTGAAGCAGGGTAGGCGCCGCCGGCCCGACAAGACTGAGTCGTCGAAGGTGAGGTCCCCCAAATCCAGTACCTCCACCGGCCGTCGTGCTTCCTCCACCCGGAGGCGGTCCCACTGGCCTCGTCGTGTCCACTGCAGGGACTCGCCGGTCTCCGGGTCCAGTGTCATCCGCGCCCAGTCCGTCGAGAGCCACCAGAGGCGTGGCCGCCCGACCCAGCCGAAGTCAGCAGCGTCGACCCACACCGGCGCCGAACCCAGAGCCTCCGTGATCTGCTTGGCGTCGGCCGTCGCCATCTCGACGTTCTCGAAGATGAAGCCGAAGCGCCGCGGTGCCACCAGCCGCCGGACCTCGGACATGAACTCCACGACGGCTCCTCCTCCTCCTCCTCTGGGGGGGACTCGACGTCGGACAGTGACTGAGACCTGCACGGCGGGCTTTGTGAAAGATTCACCTCCTTACGGGTTCGACGCTCCTGCTCCGGGTTCGCGCTCGGAAGCCAGACGACGCAGTTTTTAGGCACAGCTTGTTGTCACTGGAGAACCTCCTCACCACGGCCGGCGCGGCCCCTCCGGTCCGAGCCTACCTGGCGGCGAAGGGCATTGCCTCGACGCCGACCCTGGCCTTGATTGCGGAGGACACCGCGGCGTTTGTGGCCAAGGTGGCGCAGCCCTTCCTCTCCGGCGTCACCGTGGCCGACGCGGAGCACAAGGCCGCGGCGGGCAGCGAGGATGTGGCGAAGGCGGCGAGGGTCCACCCCCTCACGGAGGCCCAGCGCCAACGGAGAGCGGCGACCTCGGCACCACCGACGCTGCCACCTGGGATGCTGCCTGCACCAGCGGCGCCTCCTGCGCCAGCCCCCGGCAGCCACATCGGCCGACGACCGCCCACCCAAGCATTTCGCACAGTGGTCGGCGCAGGTCCAGGCGTACGAGGAGAAGACCGTGGACGGCGTCAAGCGCGTCTTCCCTACCGAGAAGCTCCTCGGCGCGAAGGACGTGCTGGCGCGGCTTTGGCACGAGCACACCAAGTCCAAGGAGTACAAGCCCCTGGGCCTCGGCGAGATCGTGGCCAGGCGTACGTGGACGGCGGGCATGGATCTCAATACCATGGCGGCGGGGAGGTCTTCTTCCTCCTCCGGCGCCAAGGCCATCAAACCTCGTCACGGAGGACACCGACGAGTGGACGCCCAAAGGGATCATGCTCACCATCGACGGGATCGAGGCCTCCCGCTGGGCGTGGATCATCTGCGGTTTCGACGAGGAGCGGCGGATTGACCGGTTCGCGAACTGGTTCATCGAGCGGGCCCGCTCGAAGCAGGCGTCCATTCCGGCGGTGCAGAGTTATTGGGCGGACTCGATGTGGAAACTCTGCGCCGATATGCGGCGGGGCCTCACATTCGGCGAGGCGACGGACCGCATCATGAAGGACACCGGCGCATGGAACGAGCATGTCATCGCCCACGCGGCGGCGGCTGCGAGGCAGCGCCCGACGCCACCCACCAAGGAGTCCCTGGGGTCAGATGGAGCGGCGCCTCCGCCTGATGGCGAGGAGCGCCCGAAAGGCGGGCCACGGCGCTGGAGACCCAGGCGGCGCCGGACGGGCCAGACCACTGCCAAGGGTGATGGCCGCGACGGGCAGCAGCCACCCAAGGGGCAGACTAAGGGCGGCGGCCGGTCCCACAAGATCCCTGGAGGTAATGCCGAGCTCGGCGAAGGCCTGCATAGTGCGCCTGGCCGCCGGCCGCGGCCACCTCGGCCAGGAAGGCTGCGAAAGTGCCCGGCTGTGGCGCCGACGCGTCTTGAGCCATGTTTGCAGTGGTCGCGTCGTCGTCTCGAGCAAAACGGCTGCCGGGGAGGGGGTTAGGGCGACACGTCGGAGAAAGCACAACCGGACAGGCAAAGCACTCAGCGTCGATCTCTCCCTTTTCCTCGCGCCGAAGAGCGTCGAACAGACTGCCTGGAAGACTGAGGGCGCCTAGCGCCGTGACATGCGCGAGGCGTCGACAAACCGTCGAGCACCCATGAATCTCAGGAAGCGGGGCCGTCGTGGCAAATGCCAAAAAGGAGGCCTCTCCGCTTCGTCGGGAGGTGCAAGGCTTAGCGCCGACCTCCGCCGACCAGGCCCTCACACAGGGCGCAACGGTGCCCCCTTTTCCCATGCGCGCCGTAGGCGCCGATCATGATGGGCCTGAGGCACCTGCCTTCCCCGTCGCAGTGGTTGTCGGCGCCGCTGGCATGGGTGGGCGCACCATCCCACCAAGCGCCGCTGTTCTTTGGAGTGCTGCACTGTAATCCGAGCGCCGGCAACTCCTTGGGGCAACCGCCGAATGAAGTAGTAATCGGTTTCGGTCTGCACCCCCCTCGGCGCCGTCTCGGGCCACTGCCCCGCCTGCTCCTTTTGGCGGACCGCCGCGAGGTCGTCGCAGGCCAAATGGCGGAGAGAGCTGGGAACGACTTCGCCGAGCGCCGAGGCCCCCCGCCGTTCCATGGACACCTTGTAGGGGTAGTACTCCGCCGGAATGTCCACCTGCTCCGCCGTCCATGGCTCGGCACCACCCCAGCGCCTGCTGTCATATGCGCCGTATTGGCGCCGCTCGTCTTGGGACCGAGCGTCGCGGCGCCATTGCGCCCTTTGGCCCGGCGAGGGTCCCACCGAGCCGCGCCGACGCGCCGCGCTCGGTGCCCGCATGTTCCTGCCCCCTGTGCCACCCGCCGTGACCGGGGGGAAAATCGAGCGCCGCTCCGCCGCCGGCATCTCCCAAGGCTCTGGCCGATCCTCCTCCGGCACCGTCGTCATAGGCCTTTGTGCGGGAACTCCCGCCGATGCCGCCCCCAAGAACTCGCTGGCCGAAGCCGCCGTAGGTGGGTCCACCCTCGGTGACGGAGGCGTCGGGGATCTCGTCGTCGAGGCCGTGGACAAGCTGAAGAAAGGTCGCGGTGGTGGCGCCGGGCCCAAGAACTCCTGCGCCGACGCCGTCGGCTCCAAAGGCGTGTCCAGGAAGGTGTCGGCAACCACCGTCGTGACCGCCGGGATCCCAAGGTCCGGGTCGATGTGCTGGTGGTCTGCCGCCGGCGTCGGCTCCGGTGCCATCAGCGTCGTCGGGGGCATAAGCGCCTCAGGCGGTGCCTTCCCCTGTGCCTTAGGTGACGTCGGTCTTGTGGAAGCCGTCGAAGGGGCCGCCGCTGCCATCGCCTCGGTCTGGACATTGGGCGCCGCCCGGATCTCCTGCATGTTGGGTGGGCGCCGTCCTGCTGTAGACTGCGCCGGGGTGGCCAGCCCAGACGCCGAGGCGCTCATGGAAAGTGTGGCGTCGAACGGGTCCGCCCCAGCTGCCAGCCGAGCCGCCGCACGAGCCTTGGCGGCCGGAGTAGCAAAATAGTCCGCCGGCGTCTCGCCACCTGTGGTCTGAGCTGGCGTCGGGGGAGCGGAGGGCATAGGTGCCATCGGTGCCGCAGGCGTCGAAGGCGCCGCTGTCGCTCGAGGCGATGTAGGAAGACGTCGTTAAGGCATAGCTTTGACCTGCACCTTAGCTGGCGTCGAAGTCCCCGAGGTAGCCGTCGATGTAGGCGCCGCCTTCCGCGGCAATTGATCCAAGGGCGTCACCCGCCACGTCGTAGCGGGAACCTGGGGGGGCGCCTTCATCACAGGACGCCGTGCAGGGATCTCCGCCCCCGCCTCCTTGGGCACTGGTGGGGGTGCCTTCCTGGGCGTCGTAGGCATCGAACTGATGGCCAAATCAGGCGGGGCCACCCCCACCGTCGATGCTGGCGTCTGGGCTCCAGATGGCATCGCCGATCCACCGCCGACGCCTCCAGCCACCATTGGAGAAAAGTTCTGCACCACCTCTGCTGACGCCGATGCCTCCGCCGCACCCTCCAGGACCTGGTTGGCGACCGTCGTAATGTCATTGAGGTCCGCCACCTGGTCCGCCGTCAACAGGCCAACGACCGGCACAATGCCGGCGCGTCGAACAGCAGTCATCGCCGCCACGAGCTGCAAAGCGACCGCCGTCGAGTCAGCCATGACCGTCGAGGCACAGGAGGATGCTATCTGAAAAGCTGAAGGCGTCGTGCGTCGAGCCAGAGTGCTTAGGCAGCTACGCCGTTTGCGGTTGTTCATGCGCACATGCTGTGCTTCACAACAATCCTGGGAAGCCTATTAACCAAGGCACGGCAATTCTTTAAGGTAACGGACTATGCTAACCATGCTTGAACGGGCCACCAGTATATGTGCCAATGAACAGGGGCACGAATTAATCTGCACCGCTTGAACCTACCCCGCCAGCCCGAACACCTTCCTGCTTGTGACCATGTTGTCATGTTTCAGGTTTCCAGCAGGATGGACGTTGGGCTTTTTGGTGCATGATGATGCTGTATCACACACCAGACTGGCCAGACACCAGACACGTCGAAATCACAGCTGATTGCAGAGTCTTGCGTTTTATCGTCACCATGGGTCAAATCATGTCAAAGCAACACTGCTCATGCCCGCGGCAAAGGCAGTGAGCTGTGGAAGCCTTCGCGAAGCTCATTGAGGCATAGGTCGATCCTCGTTTTCCAGGTGCTTCTGACAGGCTCTGGCTCAATCCGGGCAAAGTCTTAGCTTAAGGTCTCAAGACGTGTCAGAAGATGTCCACGTCCTCTCTAATAGATTGCCCATACTCTACGACGCTGCGTGTCGCTGCTGAGGCGCACACCGTCAACCACTTCCCCCCATTCTGGAATCTTGCTGGCGAAATCTGTTTCCGCAAGCCTGCGCGAAACTAGCTGTATACTCACCCGATACATGCAACTTAGTGCACAAACAACGGTCCATAGGCGATTTATGGCCCGAAATCGCGCAGTGCCAGTCTCGAAAGTGTTACGCTTGACAAGAAACGGGGGCATTTTTCCATCCGCGGCGATGCAGGTTGACTGTTGGAGGAGCTGACATCAAGTTCAAAAGTTCAAACGAAGCGCACGAAGATCAGGACAGCTCTCTCTCAGTGACCAGATGCAGTTCACATGCCTTAGCCGTGCAACTCTCGAAATCAAACACCACGACTGCATGCACGTAACCAAAACGAACCCTTTCATCATCATCCCTGGACACAGACGTGTAGCACTCGATTCTACACTGCCGAGTATCGGCAGTCACAAACCCCGAAATCTCAAACCTAGTAGTAGTAGTAGTAGTAGTAGTAGTAGCAGTAGTAGTAGTAGTAGTAGTAGGAGGAGTAGTAGGAGTAGTAGCAGTAGTAGGAGTAGTAGGAGTAGTAGGAGTAGCAGTA